GGGGGGGGGGGGGGGGGGGATGTAAAATAAGGATGCAATAATCTTGTTGCATAAGTGTGCAAAACCCATAAACTAAGACTTTGCTCAAGCTACTCTTAATTAAATTCTTCTTGATTTCTCATCTGCCATCAAACACATGTGAATCGAATCTATAACAAAGATCATCTTTTCCAGTTAAATTTTCATTGTGTCCGATTATTTGCATCTTTCAGCCAAATGCCTCAATTTCTAGAAAAGTTGCAAATGATATAAAAAAAAAAAAGATCAAATTGTGTAAACATATCAGTCAGGAGCAAAGAACAAAACAATCTCCAGGATGTTATGTCATCATATGAAATCAACAGAGATGTAACTACTACTACTACTTTATAAGAGCTCAATGTTATGTTTGAAACGTGGAAAAAGTCTAAACTCATTAAAATTCTACCCCAGTACTCGAAAATGAAAACTGCCCCTGTCATGTTGATGGATCTGTCCATATGCATTAGATATTATACTTGCCTATAAAAATTCAAGAGTAGTTTTTAACTTGTGTCAAAATAAGTTCATTTTAAAACCACTTTAGACTGGACCCTTTTCGATATGAGTGTATATACATATAAATAGATACACTGCGAGATGAAACGCATACATGCAGTCCAACAAACTACTGCTGCTATTGAGCTGAAACCGATGGAAATGATTTCTCTCTTCAGGTCAACCTGGAGAGACGACGCTATTTTATGGTTCGTTGGTTCCCTGACCCAAATAAAAAAAATCTTTAACTTTGTGTCGACCGCAGAAGGTGCCTGACATCCGTTTGTTTTTTGCTCTACTTCTTGCTTCTTTCTCTTTTAGTTGCTGTAGCAGGACGAGCGAGACGAGAATTGCTCAAACGTCTGATCTGAGGAGTCTGTGCTTCTCTTTCCACTTTCTTCAGTGTAATACTCTAAGATTAACCCAACTCAAATGAACTATTGTGTGCTAAAATGAAAAAAATATATATTTATTTAAACAGATTTTATGTCTCACTTTATTCACCGTGAGAGGCAAAACAATAATAATACTCTACTGATAAAGTCAGAAAGATTGGTACATTTTTATTTTCTTTTTACATTTAATGCTTCTTTCCAGTAAATCATAACTTTTATTAGATATGCTATTGTTTTTTTTTATTTTTTTTTTTAGGTTGAACAGTGTAAAGGTCCTTAAACTTTGAGAAGATTTCGAAGCTTTTCCATACCTAATTTTCTCTTTATATACTCCCTAAAACATACAGTCTGAAAAATGTACAACACCCATTAAATATTCAGTTCTTTAACAAAAACAAAAAAAAAACCTTCATATATAGACGTCTTGACTTTCTCAACCTCGTTTTTGAAGCCTGGGGAATCAGGACTTTCCATTTTTTCTTAATTCTCAGCAAGTCTATGGTGGACTTACTGGTAGGTTTTACATCATTGTTTTGTGGGGTGGGGGGTCCAGTTATCCTTCAGCTTCATTTTTGTAATTGATAGTTTTCTCAAGCATCCTCTGGTGTATGATGGACTGATGATGTCTTATAAAACATCTCCAAACCATTTCCTCGACGTATGAAGTTCCCTTCTTTTAATGCTCTTTAAAGCTTATGAGGAAAATCTCCTTTGCTCTGTAATCTGGATAACTAAAGACTAGACTCATCTGTCAAAATATTTTTTTTTTTCCACAAGTGCTGCTGGTGCTTCAACATTTTCACCAATCCGTCGCATGGGAACCGAAATGCGCGTGGTGCACTTTCGCCCTCTGGTGGCCTAACTTGACATTTCACCCAAAATGTTTTCTAGTCCACAGGTCAGCTAATCTGCAGCTGATGTGACAGTGGCAGGCCTTCATCAGTCTCTGCTGTGACCTGAAGCTGACATGAAACACTGATCTGATTGTTCAGTGTGATGTTATATTTCTAACTACTACAAACCTACCATCTTATGTTATCTCCTGCAAAAGTTTTCCTGACACACTTTCTCCAGCTGAAAGTGTGTCAGTCTTGAGAGACCAGAAAGTCACACAAACACACACAAGGTAATGTGGTAATGTATTTTTTATTATTTTAGAAAAATAGTTTTTTATATATATATAAAAACAAATAAGTTATGAATTCCAGCAGCTGCTTTAAGTTTCCTTTGTAATGACATCTCTCCACATCAACATTCTCTGTCGCTATCATTCTCACACACACACACACACACTTTCTTGCTTGACACAGGTCAGTTCCCACAGTCATTCAGTCGTTATGCGTTGTTACCAGTCCATATCAGCTTCACCAACCACACAATACAAGTTGAGAGCATCTTTTTTCTTCTTCTTCTTTTTTTTTTTTTTTTTTTTTTTAGTCTGGATTCATCCTTGCTCTCTGACCTACTTTCCGTAGAACATCTCCATGAGAACCTCCTCGATGTTCACCGCCCCGATTACGGGTCTGAAGAAGAGCTGTGCGACCACCAGCGGGCTGATGGCCCGCAGCATGGACAGGGCGATGAGCAGCTTGGCAAAGCGCATCGAGTCGTCGCGGTGGATCAGCCGGACGTGCTCGTTGAGAGCCTGGTGCGCCTCTCGGCGCAGCGCCTGGATGTAGTGGAGGCAGCGCAGACCTTCTAGATCTGCGAGAAGAAGAGAGGAAAGTTTAGTTTTTTCAAACGCAGACCACTCCGGGTCAATCTCATCAGTGTTCCGATCGACCGAATCAGCTTTCTTATATTGTTACGGTCTGTTTTGCAGATTTTATTCCATGCACACTGATTAAAACCTCCGATTTTTACCTGGATTAAAGAGCACAGTTCCCTTGAGATACGCGTACTCCTTCGTGCTGATATCCACACTCCAGCACTTCTTCAGGAAGGCTTTGATCGCCTCGATGTCCACCACGGACACCCCGACTGCCACCCTGGTCTGACCGGCCAGGATCTCGCTCTGCCGGTCCGGCACACCTGTGAGGATGCGCTGCAGCATGCTGGGCTCCACGGTCTCCGTCGTCTCAAAGTCCACCCGGTCCTGCGCAAGCCCCAGCACCAGCAGCGGGGCCCAGCCGCTCCGGATCAGCATCAGCTGGTCGTCCTCCGGCAACTGGCGGAAGCAGGGGACGTTTTTCACGAAGCGCAGCGTCTTCACCAGCACCGCCGACGCGGCTTTGCACGTCACCTGCGGGGAGCGCAGCACGCCCCGGCGGCGCGTCGATCCGCAGGAGCACGCCTGCTGCCGGAGCTCCTGCAGCGAGCCCGGCCCGGAGGAGGAAGAAGAGGAGGAGGAGGGTGAGGAGGAACAGGAGGAGCCCTTGAGGAGTAGATGCTGCAGGGTTTGATGTTGGGAATGCTGCTGTTGGTGTTGTCGTGGCTCCTCGGCGGTCACAAGGCTATCGCTCTTCAGAATGCTGTAGAGAATGCTGCTGTTGTTTCGGGCGCTGGCACTCCGACAGCGACAGCCCTCCAGCGTGGCCATGACCGCTGGCCGCTCTACATGGGCAGGAGCTGCCTCTTTGAAGCGCCGGGGGTCAGTGACAGAGGTAACTGCTTCCTTACCCCCTGATAGCCCCGAGTGAAGGGCAGTCTGTTTATATTAGCTCCCGTCTGTCCCCGCACTTTGAGAGATTGCTCAGAGTTGCTGCATATTTCCACCTCCACCGGCTTATGCACCTCCTCTTTTCCCTCTCTATCTCTCTCTCTCTCTCTCTCTCTCTATACAGATACAGATACAGCCTAGTCAGAAATGGGAAAAAAAATAAAAAATAAAAAAGCATTTTTTGTGTGTATGTGTGTGAAATTAATTAATTAATTACTTTTTAATTGTACCTCTCTGCTCAAAGGTCAAGGAAAGAAAAGTTCACGAAACACAAAATGTGACCTCAAAGTCTCAGCCTTTCTGTCACAGCTTGGCTTTTCATTTTTTAATTGAATTGGGGATGAAAAAAATCTTGAGTAACTAGAGATGCACCAGAAATCAACAGAGGTATGGAGTTTTATGATTTTCAAATTGACTCCACCTGACTGGTCAGAAATTTAAAAAAAAATCCACTCTTTTATCCAGTCAGTGAACTTATCACTCTGAAGTCCTGCCATGTAATAACGCTGTTTAGTGTGGATGTTGTGAAAGCAACAGGGACCTTGTTCACGACTTATAGGTTTTTCTGGACCATATTTTACCCCATTGTTTCTACTGTATTACGACACTGGGGTAATTATGGCAAAAAATGTCCGTATTCTTTAGCTGTATGAGGTTGTGTGATCTCACTATCTGACAACTCCCAGCATTTTCTTTCATTCATCTTAAATTCCTCCAACTATCTGTTAACTTTACTTTTTAACCTGGAGTAACTAGTATCTACTATGCTTACATGCATAGTAGATATGCTTTCCTTCGCAAATAACATTTATTTTCAATCACTCATGCATATTATACATTTTGTAAATTATTGCAAACATCCTCTGACTTAGAAGGGATAATAATTTAGTTTCAAATTGCTTCCAGTGTGAAATGATCAAAAATTATACAATGCTGTAAAAGTTACAATCCTATTACAGTTACAGTTGTTTATCCATGAGTTAAAACATGTATTTAATTTGACCGAAATTGGCTATGTTTACTTGTTTAGACACAATACTCCATCTGAAAAAACTTTTCAATAGTTGATCAATATTATAAACGCAGTGTTACTATCAATTAGGTTAAAGTCAAAAATATAATTCTGGCAATTGGAACTTGTTTCCTTTCTCACTGACACAAAGTTTATGTCCCATTTCCTAAAGGTTTGGTGTGACTCTGCTCATCTTTATGTATGTATGTATGTATGTGTGTGTGTGTGTATATATATATATATATATATATATATATATATATATATATATATATATAAATTCCCCTCTCACCCTCCATGGGTGGTCTCTTTCATCCTCTGAGCTCGGGTCCTCTACCAGTTTGGGGGTGACTGCCCCGAGGGCCCCGATGACCACAGGCACCACTGTGGTCTTCACCTTCCAGGTCTTTTCCAGTTCCTCTCTGAGGCCCTGGTATTTCTCCAGTTTCTCATGCTCCTTTTTCCTGATGTTGTGGTCACTTGGTATTGCTACATCCACCACAACGGCTTTCCTCTGTTCTTTATCCACCACCACAATGTCCGGTTGGTTCGCCATTACCATCTTGTCTGTCTGGATCTGGAAGTCCCACAGGATCTTGGCTCGGTCATTCTCCACCACCTTTGGGGGTGTCCCCCATTTTGACCTCGGGGCTTCCAGTCCATATTCTGCACAGATGTCAGATGTTCCTGTACACC